CATCGAAAGAAACAAAGTCTGACCCTAAGACCTTTAAATATCTAAAAAGTGATTTTTAAGTGCCAGTCTAGTGCATATGACCGTCCCCCGAGAACGAGCTGAGCTAGATGTCCAAAATTGTCAGGGTGTCTTTGTGGTTGCATTTTAGGTTTGTTGGAAGACCAGGCCGATCATTTTTATTTTTATTTTTTTTATGGTCTCTCCGGTATTTTTGAAAGGGTAAAAATACGGAATGGAAACGCGATGGTGTCTTTCAAGCGATAGCTTGACGTTTTTTGGATACCATTCGCAAACCTCTTAACCCTCGTACGTGCTTCCGTTCTCATGATTCGGCGGAATACCCAATTTCACGCAAGCCACAAGTGGGTTTGGAGTGGCCGGCGCCGGCACTGGGCCTTACTATCTCGCACTCGAGGAGCGTCCGCGCGATCAATGACTGCATCCATAACGTCACGACGGCCCTCCGCGACCGCGATTGGCGGGCGGCTGCCATGTCAGCGACGTCATGCCTGTTTACCCGACTTCTTGTCCGCCCGTGTCGACTTCTCGGAAATCAGCTAAACGAGGACCTCAATTAAGAATTTGCTGATACGTCCCCGGCGTGTTGAATTTCAGCCATCCGCTCCGCTCACGCCTGGCTGTTAAACCCAGTCAAGTATTTGTCCACTATTTTAAAAGTACTTTTCGTGAGTTTTTTCAGGCGTCACCGATGCCGGCCTGCATGGTGTGCGGCCGGCCTGCAGGACAGCGGTGCGCGGGCTGCGGCGCCGCCTACTACTGCGGCAAGGACCACCAGAAGCTGCACTGGAAGCAGCACAAGCCGGGCTGCTCGCCGGTCAAGGTAACGAGGCCTCTCCGCCCGCCCTATGCGAGGTGGCTGATTCGCCCCACGTCCGCACCCACTTCAGTACCGTTCACACGCAAGTTGGACTACCGCACACGCTCGTGCCGGCGGTTTACCCATTTGATAGAAGCCTGGGCCGTAAGAAAAAATGAAACGTCCAAGAAGTACGCCCATGAGCTTCATTCGGTAAATTACGGGAGCAAGGCGCCTGCGAGACTCGGGGTAGGCCACCCCGCAGTACACGCCTACACTGCATGCCATATGTTGCCTACCTACCAGGCGCTATGAGAGCTCTGCGAAAGGCTAAACTTGTCAGATTCGTAGCGGCGGATGACGGACGCACTTTCTGGATGTTCCATTAAGGAACGACGTCCAGAAACTAAAGATAAAATCTGGCCGCACGAGACCCCGCGGTACAGTCTGCGCGTCCTACAAATGTGAACGGGTTGGGGATCAGCCACCTGGCAGTCCTCAGGACCGCGCCGTTAAACTCACTGTGGTTTGCAGGAGGCCAGCTCGGCGCAGCTGGGCCGCTACCTGGCGGCCGCGCGCAACCTGGCCGTCGGGGAGGTGGTGCTGCGGGAGGCGCCGCTCATCGAGGCGCCGCCCCCCAGCACGCAGCCGGTGTGCCTCACCTGCTACAAGCCGCTGTTCGAGGCCTCCGCCAAGGAGTGCGAGAGGTAAGGTGACGATGCGGGACCCCGCGACCCCACCACCGACCGAGCGCTCAGCCCCCCACAACGCTCCTTCTTCTGTTCCTTCGCCCGCAGGTGTGGGTGGCCGATGTGCGGGCCAGAGTGCGCCAACAACCCCAAGCACCGCGGGGAGTGCAGGCTCACGGTGCAGAAGAGAGGCGACAAGGTAAGCGACGTTCTCACTGTCGATACTCAAGGGAATTGTGTTCTATATTTTCGTACATCCAATTACTTTCTGCTTCTCTAGATGAACATCCGCAACTTTGGGCTGCCGCACCCCAGCTACCAGTGCATAGCCACTCTGCGCTGCCTGGCGCTCCGGGACAGCTCGTCCGCAAAGTGGCGCCGGCTGCTGGAGATGGAGTCGCACAGCGAGCAGCGCGCCGGCTCGCCCCGGCAGGAGCAGGAGCGCTTCGGCGTGGCCCTCTTCATCCTCCGGGTGTTCCCCAAGCTGCGCGACATCGACAAGCTGACCGAGGAGGAGATCCTGAACATCTGCGGCATCCTGCAGGTGAGCGGCGCGGAGACGGGCGCAGCGCCGATCGGACCGGCCACATCAGTGACCCCTGTCATTTCCTCAGGTGAACGGACACGAGGTGCCGCTGAGCGAGCCGCCGTACGTGGCGGTGTACGACAAGGGGTCCCTCTTGGCGCACTCGTGCCGCGCCAACTGCGCCAAGAGCTTCTCCTCGGCCGGGGAGCTGGTCGTGCGCACCGCGCTGCCCGTCAAGGCGGGCGAGCCGCTCACCATCTGCTACACGGACCCCATGTGGGGCACGGCCGCGCGGCGCCAGCACCTGTACGACACCAAGTTCTTCTGGTGCCGGTGCGAACGCTGCGTCGACCCCACCGAGTTCGGCTCCTACTTCAGCGCGATCGCCTGCCCCGGGTGAGCCAAGCTCCGAGCACACACTTCATTTCCCCCCGCGGGAAATTAGGTTTGCCCGCCCCGGGTGACTGCTCGTGCACGCGCTTGCAGCCGGAACTCACTCTCCGATCCCCTGTCGGCAGCGGCGACGGCGAGCAGCCGGACTGCCCGGGGGCCATCATGCCGGACGACCCCCTGGTGGAGGGCGGCGCGCCGGAGGGCGGCGACCCCGACATGGGCGAGCAGCAGTACTGGCGCTGTCCGACGTGTGACATCAGCATGCCGCAGGGCTCGGTGCTCTCACTGCTCAGAAGGGTCGGCGAGGACCTCAGCGAGCTGGACAAGGACGACGCCGAGGCCTGCAGGCTGTTCCTGCAGCGCTACGGCGGGGACGAGTTCCCCCTGGACCTCAAGGTGAGCTGTTGTTGTTGTCCGTTACTCGTTGGAAGACGCGTTGTGTGGGTAAAAAAGAGAATGTCTCCCAATAACGCCCGCGGTGCTCTAGGAGAAGGACGCCGTGCGCCGGCCGCTGCTCTCTCGCAACCACTTCTACCTGACGGACGTGCGCCTGGCGCTGGCGCAGCGCTACGGCCAGGACGGCGTCGACGCCCAGCAGGGCCTCCGACAGCTATCTGACGGCGAGATCGCCCACAAGCGCCAGCTGTGCCGTGAGCTGCTCAAGCTAGCCGAAAAGCTGGTGCCAGCCGAGCATCGCATGCGGGGGCTGCTGTGGTTCGAGCTGCACGCCGTGGAGGTGGAGGCGTCGCGGCGTCGCGGCCTCGATCAGGGCCCCGACCCCGCCGCCCTGCGCGTCAGCCTGCTGGTGAGTCCCAGTCCCCTCCCCGCCTCCCCACCCCCACTCGCCCTTCTCGGCCTCCCTGCTGTCACTCTGCCCTCTCTGCCCCCAAGGAGTCCCGCCGCTGTCTGACGGAGGTCATCGAGCTGCTGCGGTGCGAGCCCCCCGAGCTACCGGAGGGCAAGGTGCTGCGGCAGGCCCGCCTCAACTTCAAGGAGGTGGATCAGCTGCTCTGCGCACTGCACCACGCCGTCGGGGACGCACCCTTGTGATATCTCGTCATTGTCATCGCTTCATGCTTAATCATCCTTCATCCGCAAAAGTCTCTTCACAGCCTTCGCCTTTCATGTTTATAAATAAACGATTTTTTTGTTCTTTTTCGTTATTTAATGTATTTATTTCTCGCTTCAGGCCGGCTACCCACCAAACTTTCATGGGACAGGATGTATACAGGGAAGGTATCAAACCGAATATCCTTAAATTATTTATTTCATAACAAAGAGATTTGTGCTTCTTGACATGAAGTATATTATCATATTTCGATACAACCATATAGTCTGATTAAAATAACATAACTTACATAGCCTTACCAAAAATACTGTACACTGAGAAATAAATATCCTACAAAACTTAAATAAAGTAGGAGAAGGCAGCTCTAATCACAATAATAATATAATACGAGAAAAAAAAATTGTTAACATGGCAATTCTGAATAAGAAGGACGACTAAAAGCAAATCTGCTGAAATAAATCTAAATCGAAGGAATTCAGATTGTCATTTACCTTTGCTAGCATTTGAGACCAGAATCGGCATTATGACTCTGACTCGACAATGTTTTTTTCGGGGTAATACTGAAGAGGACAGAAAAAAATAATAACAAAGATCACAAAAATATTCATTCGGCCTGATTATTCAGTCTCATAGGGAAATGCTCCTCCTCTCTCATTCGCTGCTCGCTCTCTGAAGGACTCGACCAGCGGCGGTTGGCAATAACAGGCCGCGCCTGCCTGGTGCCCGGACAACAACGGCAGCAAACACTCGAACGGTAACGCAGCACGCTCCACTAGCATACATCATCAAGGAAAGGCATATCACAATACTTGTAGGAAATTCAATGGAACATTTAAGTGGGCATTCAAGGAACCAATTCATAGGAAAACGCGATCGCGGACGGGGCACACGGACCTCTGCACGCGTCTAGTCGAGCAGACGCCTGCGGAGGTCCCTCTGCGCCCGGCCCGCGCCAGTCCAGTCGGCATCTCGAGACGTCTACTTCTGCATAGTCTGTAGGCGAGTCGAGTTACCCTCCCCTCCCTGTTCCTACCCCGCCCCGCTCGGTGATGCGCGGTGCCGGCCCGGGGCCTAGATCCAGACGAAGCCCCAGTACAGGACGTTGAAGACGACGAAGCTGGCCGGGAACACGACTCTGCTGCGCCGGTCGATCCACTGCGCGATCTGCTGCGGCGTCATGGTGGTGAAGCCCTGGGGCGAGGGTGAGGGCGAGCTCAGCCCGTCCGCTTGCGCCATGTTCTGCGCCTTGTAACCCCTGCCGCCTGAGCCTGGCACGGGGATGACGATGTCCTGGCAGTCCTGGGTCGACTCTGTCGAGCCTGCGGCCAGCGTCGAGCTCAGGGTGTACGTTGACGCGTAGGGGTCGCGGATGGACTCGAGTGACCCCACGCTCAGCGTGTTGGTGGCGCCCTGCGTTATAGCAACAGATTCGTCAGAAACGTGCTCGAGGACAAGGAAAGCACGAGCAGAAAGTTATAAGGGTGACTTACGTATATGGAGATCTCAGGTTGCGGCTTGCGTCCCTCCTCGACCATGTCGGGGCAGGACCTGCACCGCTCCATCATGGTCTGCTTACGGTGCAGGGTCGGCGTGAGCGTTGACCTCAGCACGTGCTTCGTGTTGACCTTCTTGAGCTCCACGTTGTTCCTACGAAAATGATCGACCCGGGTTAAAGGGGGAACCAGTCTGAGAAGACGCGAGGTGGGAGGGTTGACTGAAAATGGCATGTGGCTCTCACTTTCGACGCCAAATGGTGTTGACGAAGGCGAACTCGACGAGGGAGCCGAAGATGAAGGCGGTGCACACCATGAACCAAATCTCGGTCGCCTTGATGTACGACACCTTCGGCAGGGGGCTGCCCGAGTTGCGCGTCAGCGTGATGAACGTCAGCATGGTGCTGGTGCCTGCGGAGCACAAGGGGTAGCGCGGCTGGTCAGTCCAGGTTCAAGGACAATTACGTCTACCGACCAGGCTGGCCACGGATCACGATGGCGTCCCTGAGGTAAGACCATCAATCAGACACGGGTAAACACAGGCTCTCGCTCACCCAGCGTGGTGCGGCCGGGGACGGCGTTGGGGTCCAGCCAGAAGGACACCCAGGAGACGACGACCAGCAGGATGGAGGGCACGTAGTAGTCCATGATGTAGTGGCCCACCTCGCGCTTCAGGTGGAAGTCCACCTGCAGGCGCGAGTAGTTGCCGCCGAACCTGTCCATGCCCATCTCGTCGATGTCCATGTCCGCGAAC